GGCGGATGCAGACCACTTGTCATTCTGCTACTGTGCTGTGCGTCTCTGAAATGATAAGGAAACAGAATATGGCCTGAAGATTTTCTTCGAGACTGAGTCTTGTGAGTGAGTGTACATTTGGCCATCGTATAGTGAAAGCAAGAGGATCGAAATGGCGACAGTGCACACATACATATATTATGTTTATCAGATGTTTTCTCGAATCATAGATACTCTTAAATATGTTTTTTAAAACTCAGTTTTGATGTTCGAAACGTTTATTTTCAGTTACAACGCTGACTGGTAATGTCATTTCAGCACAATTCGAAGAGCAATTACCTGGTACTATGTTTCGAAGAAAAAAAAAAAAACAACAACAAAGAAACAACAAAAAAAAAAAAGATTAAAAAAAAATAATAATAATTTTACAAATCCAGAAATAGATTTGAGTGTGACACTTATGTAGGAATTTACAGCAGTGCCAGTTATGACATTTAATATTTCAACACCATGACAGGTTTCAGGATTTTTAATAAATTAGATTCATTTCAACTGACTTTTTTTGCGGCCAACTCGTAACTATTTGCAGTTCATTGTTGGTTGAAAAACTGGTTCAAATCAAATAGTTTCTGCACGTTTCTTTGCTGTTATCTTCAGTGGCGTAGCGAGGGTGTTTGGCGCCCGGGGACAAGATTCGCGCCCGGGGACAAGATCCATTTTTAGCGCCCCTTTTTCTTTTTTTCAACTCTCAAACCCATTATTTTCCTCAATAAAATAATATCAAAGCACATTTTGGCGCCCCTAACTAGCTGGCGCCCGGGGACATCTGTCCCCCCTGCCCCCACCACGCTACGCCTCTGATTACTTTGTGTCCTGGAAAAAATTGTCTCTGAGAGTGTTTAAATATGTTTGTGCTTCTTCGAAAAGTATAACATCTTCAATCTTTTTAAAAAAGAAAAATCAACTGAAAAGGAAAACAAATTAGTAAAATTAAATTTTAATTTAAAGATACTGCAATGACGTCACAATTGCCACCCTTTTTTTTGGTGACAACGGTCATATTCCTACGCATTCCAATTGCCCCCCCCCCGCACCACAACCCCCGCATTTTGCTGGATTCGTTTGGTCAATAAGTACCTAAATAGATATAACTGTGGGTGGCCGAGTGGTCACTGAGCAAATCTCAAGTTGATGGTCTGCAGTTCAATCGCCACCAATGCCCAGTCACGCAACATAAGTAGCACCAGGTGGATGGGACTCGTTGACCTTAAATGGCAACTCATCTAAGAGAAGGAAACTCTGAATTCAAACCCGGAGAAGGAGTCCCGTAGGCGGATAACATTAGTACAGTGAAACATGGCGAAAACTCCTGCGACGTCACTGCCGCCAAGTTGTATCATCCACATGATGTTCCCGTGGGTTATCCAGCGGCGTGGAGAGAGGCGATTTGCTGTTGAGAACCACCCTAAAATCCTAGAAGATAATCCCAATCCTTGTGGATTTCGTCCTGCGAAGTCCACACCATCGTCACATTTTTGACGGACGGATGCCAGCGAAAAAAAAAAAAAAATCATTATTTACCCCAAATTTTCCAAAATTAATTAATTAATTAATAATTAAAGTGCAAATTTTGGTTTTTAAGTTAATTAATGCCATTTTACTGAAAACAAAAGACAAAAAAAAAAAAAGTAATTTTAACAATTTTAAACGAATTAATCGCCGTAAAAAGATCATTTAAACACAGAGGTCTTCATACTGAATGACCCCATATGACCTTATTATAAACAACCCATAATTAATACAATAAAAAAACATTAAAAAAAAAAGATAAATTTTAATCTTTAGTCTTATAATTTAAAGTATTGCTGTTGGCAGTAAAAAAAAATAAAAATAAATAATAATAAAAAATGAAGTGATAAGCGTTGCACTAGATTTATTTTCATTAAACGCCGTTAACGTTTTCAAACAAACAATTGACATTTTTAATTTTATTTAGGATGTCCAATTATTTATTTCAATTGACTGCCTGTTTAGTCCCTCAGCAGCTTTGGTTGTAAAAAGGAAAGGGCTATCACCAAAGATTCGCTCAAAAGCAAAATACAACTTATTTTCCGTGAGTTAAGTGTTCAACTTATTTTTTTCGTTTTGCGATCAAAATGACGCCTCTAAAAATTGCCCAGCCCGCCCCTGATTTAATTTAACTGATTTTTGTTGTGGTGTTAGAGTAGGGCTATATTATTCCAGCTACCACATTGGCATTGGCAAACATAAATCTGGTATGTATCGTACCCCCCCCCCACGTCATCAAAAGAAAATATATCTAAAAAATTAGGTTTACCATAAGTCTCGCATGAAAGAGAGAATACTCAAAATTTTCATCAAAATTTTGCGATCAAAATGGCGCCTCTAAAAATTGCCCAGCCCGCCCCTGATTTAATTTAACTGATTTTTGTTGTGGTGTTAGAGTAGGGCTATATTATTCCAGCTACCCCATTGGCATTGGCAAACATAAATCTGGTATGTATCGTACCCCCCCCCCCACGTCATCAAAAGAAAATATATCTAAAAAATTAGGTTTACCATAAGTCTCGGATGAAAGAGAGAATACTCAAAATTTTCATCAAAACCGGTAACCAATGTTAAGTGTTGTCCTAGGACTACGACAATGTTAAGTGTTGTCCTAGGACTACGCCAATGTTAAGTGTTGTCCCAGGACTACGCCAATGTTAAGTGTTGTCCTAGGACTACGCCAATGTTAAGTGTTGTCCCAGGACTACGCCAATGTTAAGTGTTGTCCTAGGACTACGCCAATGTTAAGTGTTGTCCTAGGACTACGCCAATGTTAAGTGTTGTCCTAGGACTACGCCAATGTTAAGTGTTGTCCCAGGACTACGCCAATGTTAAGTGTTGTTCTAGAACTACGCCAATGTTAAGTGTTGTCCCAGGACTACGCCAATGTTAAGTGTTGTCTCAGGACTACGCCAATGTTAAGTGTTGTCCTGGGACTACGCCAATGTTAAGTGTTGTCCTAGGACTACGCCAATGTGAAGTGTTGTACAAATAAGCTTAAGTTAAACTGCATAAACTAGTCTTGTTATTGTCAACAGTTTCAATTAGATATTTAGCCAGTGTTCAGTACACATTACATTAAAATGACTGGGTTTTGCCTGCTATATTAGAATCAGGTCAAATTGTTTTGATTGAGAAGCGACAAAAGCAATCCATTGATTTATAGCTATGAAGGTGGTTGGCTTGGGGGCCGTTCATAAAGTACGTCACGTTCCAGAGGGGAGGAGGGGGTGTAAGAAAGTGTGACAGATTTTGACAGGGGCGAGGGGGGTCAGGCCATGTGTGACGTCACATATTAATTTTAATTTTTTTTTTCTAAATTATTTATTATTTTTTTAGTAGAATTTAATAGCTTTAAAAAATAATTTTCAAAAATTTTGTCAAACATTTGAATTAGTTTTATGTCAAAATAGCATGAAATGCGTATCTCCTGAATGTATTGTTCACGATTCCTCTCGCTAGGAGCGCTAGTATGCTGTTGCGAAGTCTTGTTTTATGTATAGCCTTGCCTAGATCTTTAGTGTCCACCTTTGCGGACCGGGTTACTCGATCGAATTTGCAAAGTATGTCACTTAAACATGCAGGACAACACAGAGCTCGGGCTCGGGAGAATGTGCCAACCAAAACTGTTACAGAATCAACTCAGATAAAACGCACCAGTCCTTTGAGAATCGCTGCTAGAAGGCAAAGAGAACTCATGGCAGTTATTGCCAGAAGAGAAAATTATCATGTTGAGTGGCTAGATGAAGATGAAGTTGTTATGTCTGCAATTATCCTTCCAGGAAACGATGATGGTGAAAGAGTGATGCCAGTCGTAACTATGGGTGAACACTTCACTTCACCATGGATGGATGATGTCCAGTGAATATTTTTGAATTAAAAATAATTCACAGGCCCATAATAAACAGATTCAATATAGCACAAGAGTTTGTCACATAATTTGTCAATCTAGTCAAATCGATTTGTTTCCTTTTTATTATTTAATCAATGGATGAGGTCAAGTTTTGCTAATCTACTTCTTATCCTGTGTAAAAAGATTGCATAATCGGAAATTATCTAAAACTTGACCTCACCTTTTGTAAATGAAATAGCAGCAGATAAATGATGTATATTAAATAATTGTCTCGTCTAATTTTTGCAATTTTTGTTTTCAAATTCAATCTCTATTGAGTTAATGCTTCAATGAATAACTGTGACAACTGTTTACCATTAACTATTCTACTATTAGAGTAATTTTAATAATGTGATAGTTCTTGTAAGTGGACATTTTATATTTTAATACAGTTTAATGGTGAAGTGTGTTTTAGATTAAATTTTAATTAGGTGTTAATTTAAAAAAAAAATTGTTCGAAAGTGTGACGTACTTTAGGGGGGGGGGGGTTCCAAGATTTGGGAAAAAGGGGGGGGGGGAAGGGTAAAAAAAAC